GTTTGCATACTTAATCTTAAACTAAATTCAATATCTTCAGAACAGTGGTAATAAAAATTTGATACAAATGAAAATTGACATAGGGTTTGACCAGACATGTGCCAATAACAAACACATTTTAGTCAATAATATATAATCAAATAAATTAACTAAAATCTATAAATTCTTGAGTTCATGTGAAAGATGGTGGCTAAATGAGTTTGTACCTAAATTTCCGATATGACCTCTTATGACATGAGGAATTTTAATGTCTTTTTTCACATCAATAAATCGAATATTTCTAATCTCTTACAGACATGATGGTATCATTGATAACTGAATAATTTTTAAATATGAAGTTTGAATGATATCTATATAATTTAAATGACAATTATTGAATAGTAGGCTTAATCTATTAAATTAGGCTTCGAAGCCAAATATTTCATCAAGGGTAATCAGAAATTGCAGCAAATTAAATGTATATGGCAGTAGGTGGGTTCAATCTATTTCCGTGTGCTTATGAACTTTTCCGTTTTTAATGAAATCAGAAGACCTATGTATAGATTTATTAACATTTTCCTCATTTCATTTCTATTTTGTTGAGTTATGATACTAAATATTTTGATTTCATATGATAATATATGTGTACAGTACCTGTCTATAATTAATTATGATGTAATGATATTGGAAAGTTAATTATCTCATCCTTATAAATATATCATAGCACAATACTATCTAAATTTATCTCTGTATTTATCCTATGACATGGGTTGGCATTTAAAATAAGTTCAAAATAAAAAATTATTTACTGAATAAAATCATTAGTTTATTAGTGTTAAAGAAAAAAATGAACATATGAAAATGCTATGAGCCTTAAGATAAGTTGTCAGATTTTGGTATATAAAATAAAAAAGAATATAACATGGAAGAAAAATAAGAAATAAACCAGACTAATTGAGGATATATTTCTCTATAGAATATATATCAAATTGAATATACAGATTCTCTTTGATATTAAATATTCTATTTGTGCTGTAGACTGTATCGGTCCAATTCAGTTATCAACCAAGACAACTGACTAGTCGACTATTATATATTCATAAGAAGGTATACTGTCTATTTTTATTTAACATTTCATAAATCTTATAGGAACATGTTCATGAACATCTATAATTCTGGTACGTACTGTAATATAGTCCTTTTGAAAAGTGCAATATTTCTGTAATTTTGCTTAGAGCAGAGTTCCAACACATCTCCAATTTTGATGCTGATGATGTAAAGAGACCAGATAGCCAGGGAAAAAAGCAACTTTTACTTAAAAAATTTTGTAAGATATTGACAACCTTATGAAATCAGTGTAGGGTTCCTGATGGAGTTAATGTTGTCTCCTGAAAGGTTGACATTTGAAATTTTGATTAGAATATACAGTATAATATAGTATATATAATGATAGATAAATATAGGTAATGACTGATCATCAATCAACCTTCTACTTTCTATACATGACATTTGGTGTAGGGTGGGAAGGTCTGAAATAGATGTTACCCATAACATTACTTAACTCATGGCCACCAGTAACATATCTTTCATCAAACTTTCATTTCATTTCAAGAGGCAGAAAGTTTATTAAACAATGTATATAATGTAAACTGAGGAAATTACAATTTGTAACATATGGAAGTTAAATTGTGCCCATCTTTAGTCATGAGAAAATATTTCTTGAAATAGAAAACACCTGACAAAGGAAAGTTATAAGTTTGTAATTGAAAAAAGAAGTAAACTAACTAGGTATAAAACATTTTTATCAGAGCCCACGAAATAACTTAATTCCCAATATGTTAAACAATTGAGAAACTGACCATAGAATCAAGATTGAAACCATTTCAACCATCTACAGCAATATAAAGTTTACAGTATTAAACATGTTATAATATATTCATAATTACTATAGTTATTACTATAACAATATACATCTTATTTGACTACAGCATTATAAGTTTATAACAACATCTCAGATTATAGCAATGTTGCAGGATCAACAACTTTAGCTGCTTTCAAGCTATGGTAGTGGCAATGTGAACTGGTCAATATTGAACTTAATCATATCATTGATAATAGGGATCTCAGGTGTCTGATAAACAGGAAACATATAAATCATATACATTGTAGATGTGATGTACCAGAATTTTCAGAATCAATTAAAAGATTTTAAAAAGCATTTTATTCTTGTGAAAGGTTCCTTCTCAAATTGTTTGTTTCATTAGAAATATTTGACATCCATCATTTCATTTTTCAAGATGAACATGAATTGCTGGAAATGCAAGACTTTAAAACAAAATTGTATTGAGTTTTCTCCAAGATGACAATCTTAAAAAGATTGAAATGGTAGAATTAAAATAAATTACCACACACCAAGTAACCTACTATAGTTGTAATATATTCATTGAATGTAACTCATACTTTAAACTTTAAAAATATCTAGACAATTACAAATACTTGTCATACCTCTACTACCTACCTAATAATGACATGCTGTACAGATATTTTTAGCTATAGATCTAAGATGAGATAAAGGTTATGAATTATATTGATAAATATAAAGATATCAGCACATGTAGAACAAAACTAAATATCAAGATTACATGCCATAGTACATTTTACATATTTTCAAACATTTTTGTAATTTGATTTATTTTAATAGTGAAAATATTTTGTTATTGTAAATTAGTTGATATATTAAAATCATAAGTCTAAATTTGTATTCCTAACCTTATAACACATTTCTTTGAAAATAAAATGTTTGAACCTAGAAGGTGTAGATAATAAGACTCCCTGCTTTTCTCTTATGAAATAAATCATTGTTTGAAAATGGTCTGAAAAACCTTGTAACTTTACCACTATCACTAAGCCACATGTGGTTCTGTATAAAACATCAACCACCTACAAACATAGGTTGACAACACACTATTATATACCTGTCACATGTTTCTTTTGCATCTGCAACTTTGCAACGAAAAATACCAAATCTGCTGTGTAAAATTCTGAGAACAGTATTTTTTATCTGATCATGTAACATCTATTATATAGAAATATTAGAGATAATTTACATGGTTATATGAAACTATTTATATTCTATAGCTGTCAGTACTTGCCATCAACTTAGCTATCACTAACAAAAGACATCAAGTATTATATAAAGATATTTTTTGTCATTTAATCCTTTATAAATTTCAGTTTGAATATATTTGTCATGTTTAATTAAATATAAGATTACAGACAACAATTAACTTCATCATGTTGAGAATACTTAATATAACATTACAATAACAACTTCATGTCTAAAAATATTCATTTCATTTGTTTGTTATAAATATACAAATTTCACAAAATCAAGAAAAAAAGTCCTACAGACTTTCAAAACTTTGAAATTTTTTCCACAAAATCTATCAATATCAAACAAATTGTTAACCAGATCATCTTATATTAACATTCCATAATCTATACATTATATGTGAGTACCTTGAAAAGATAAAGAGTAGAAAATGTCAACAGTAGATTTTAACTCTTAATGGAGATGTAAATCTACACTGAGCTTTATCTGACAGTTTCTTCTTAAAGTATTTTTTAACATTAACTATAAGCTTATACAATAAAATACATAAACTTAACTAGTAATTCTTGACATGACATTTAGTAAAACTACTCAAAAATAGTACAGTATATAGCATAGAAAATGAACTTTCCATCAATTATTAATTTAGGGAAGTCTGAAACAGATACATCTTACCAGGTAATTCTTTACACTTAAATAATAAGGTCTGTTGGCAAAAAAATATATACCAGCAAATTCTTTGATGTATATTAATTTCCATGCAGTAAGTTGTTATTTGTATACTATCGGTCTAGTTTTGCACATTTGTAAATATTTTAATAATTCATAAGAATAGGTTATGATGAAAAACTACAAAAAAATCTTTAAGGTACAGATTTAGTACTGATTGAAATCAGAAATCATTAGATATAACTTTGAACCATTAGGTAACATTACAAGTATTGTGTAAGACTACATGGTGACACCATCTGTCTATCAGTTATACCTTGTCTATCTGATACAAATTGTCTATCACAAGTCTATCAAATTACAGTTTTAAATAACTGTTACTAGATTAACCATAGATAATTGTTGATGCATGCTGAATAATTACATAATTAATGTTAACATGGGTTGGGTAGTGAACTTAGTGAATTTTACTAAAGAAATGACTTTCTCTTATAGATATAATTTTTATTCATATATTGTTTTGGTGAACTGGCTTATGCATTTAGTACAGGACCTGCAACTTGTCTGTCAGCCACAGAAAATGTTTTGGTTTAATTGATGTATAAGCCATCAAAGCAGAAACATTCCCTGGGTTTTACCAAAACAACTGGGGTCACATCAAGCCACCCCATGGTCTCAAATGGGCACTCTAGTGTTGTTGATAAAGTAATTAAGCATATGGTAATCAGTATATATTACAACCACACAGATATACAATAATATCAGATATCAAAGGAAGTATACATGGTTTGTTTTTTAACTCTAAAGTGTTCCAAATTAACCCTATAGTGCTCAATTTAACCCTACAGTGCTGTTTATTTAATCTTTATGTAATATGTAAATTACAGATTTATTTATCAGTTTTATTCAAAATAAATCTTTGTTCAAAACATCCTGAACTAGAAACCACGACACATTTCATTAGTCATTGTAACCAGTTACATCAGACAACCAGGGTTTGTCTTGTTTTTTTTAAAGTATATCATTAATTTACATTGTTTTGTGAAATCAAGGACATTCTCATGTAAATTATAACTGATATTTTCAGAACCTCAGGGGTGTTAACAATTTTAATTTTTTATTAATTCCTTAATAGTGAAAAAAGTTAGACTTTAATATTTTTTATTTATCTTGTGTATTTCAGGTTCTATGCTATAAAGATCAAGTTATGGTGAAGTGATTATGGGAGTAATCTGTCACAATGTCTACTAGTGACACTATGAACTATTTGTTTTATATTGGCGTATTAATACCTACTATTATAACTATCGTACTATTTGTTATATTTATGGTTTGTTTAAAGAGAATCAAAGCCAGACGTGATGTGCTGTACAAGAAACATGACCCTCATGGTCGTATGAGAGAACTAGGGGTACCAATGGTGCCCCCATCCCCACCAAACTTTGATGAAATCATTCCTGATATTGAGGTTGATATGGATGGTAACGATAATAATGGATATCAAGTGAGTCGCAGTCCCTCCACAGAAAATGAAAATAGTGCTAATCGTTCACCTAATGGTGCTCAAATGTATAATACATGTCCGGACAGTGGGATGTCTGGATTAAGTGAAGTGACAACTTGTAAAGATCGTCCACGCTCTCAAGCATCACATAGTTCTACTGACTCTGAGGATTCAGGATTCCGAAGTTCTCGTTCTGGACAATATCTTCCTAGTGCCAACCAGTCTCAAGATGTTCCACTATTAAAACCTATCAAATCCCACAGGGACTCATGTTTGAGTCAATCAGTAAGGTTTTCTAAAAGTGAACGGACCCCTGTGATTAAAACCAGTGCACGAGATGATCTCGCTATATCCAATGGTAAAAATCAAATAAACTTAAACGATATTCAAGTAAGCAGCCATCTTAGTTGGCAATATTTACAGAATTTATCTTCACGAAATTTACCATGTCAACAGCCACAAAATAATCCAAATACATTTACAGTGGCTCAAGTCCACAGACAGTCAGCGTGTCGTGAACAGACTCCAGCTAGTGATTTTGGTTTTTCTGTTGTGTGATAGTTATTATACTCCATCCTCAGTCATTCCTAGGATTAAAGTATCAACTAGTCTAGAATCAATTGTGATCATTAAAGGAAACATTACTAGTAATCTCATACTTTTATCAATGTCAACAGGTCTCGGGATAAAAATCATTAGAGAAAACTTGAGATTTGAACTATTGTATTAATGTGATGTGAACCACCAAAGTTTCTATATAAATTAAACATTGTATAACTCTCCAAGAGTCAAAACTATATCCAATTTGTGGTATTTTAATTTATGTAGTTGTCACCCAAAAAAAAACTTTTGGTTTTGATGCATTTGGTAAAAGACTAAAATTGATTTCAAATCTTCTTTTCTAAACACAAGAGGGTTTTCATTTCAAAAATGTTTTCTGGATAGAAAGCCTCCTTTCTAAAACATGTGACAACTACATGTATTGAAATATTGAAAGTATTAATTGTCTGTATGTATATATAATGATATCAGAAGGTTTAAACAATGAATAAAACCATACAGTATAATGTATATATTGAACATATTATTTATAAAGTGAAAATGGTTTATATTTTCTATAAGAAATTTTCTAAAGTGTACAGAATCAAAGTTGTGTACATACTGTTTCTAACTTTTCAAAAATCAAAACTTTCAATTTGACCATATGATCAAATGTCTCATAAGTTACTTTATAGATTCAAGTTTTTTTGATATAATCATTTTCATTCAATAGAAACCATTGGTAAACTTATCATAATTATACAGGCTGGCTTCTTGTAGCAACCATGATATCTAAATGTTCACTTTGAAGCAACTATGCTTTCTAAATGTTTACCATATAAATCTGAATTCTTTTAAACTACAAAATATATCTTGAAATCTCATTCTGTTTCACCATATGTTCTCTTACTGTTTGTTTATTTGTTTACTTGTTTGTTATTTTGTATCATGAAATAATATAATTTATAAAACTATCAGATTTGTTTACTTTTCAGTAATTTTATGCATGGTAACAACAGTCAGAGAGGAACATGTGATATAAAGTCTTTAGATTCACCTGTCTGTGCATAATCAAAATTTGAATTAGTGATCAAAATGACACATTTTAAAGTATTTCATGTATTTTAATTATCACCAGGGAGTGTTTCATATTTGAATACAAAAAATGAAAATACAGTCCTAAAAGATAAAACAAATCATAGCCAAAGGAAAGGTGACATTCGTCAATTTTTATCCATACAGACATCTTTAATTTAATCTGATTAGATGAAGTCCACAGTCTATGACCAGTATGGTGTCTGGCTCAGTAAGATTACAATGTCTGATTTACCAAGATCAGTGTCTGGTATTTTGTGGGACTTGAAAAATAAAAGATCAAATAAAATGAATAGTTTGATGATGAATATTCAATTCCTAAAATCCTTAAAGGGACACTTGGGCCTTCAAATCCAAGTGTGCCCAGAATTATACATGTTTAACTTTATACAATTTAATAACGACTTGTCTTTTCTTCAGACTATGCCATATATAGAAAAGACATGTATATAGAAATAGAAAGTGAAAATCCTACTATGAGGTATTTGTGAAGGATTTATGCGATTTTTCAGTACTTCTGAAGACTATTTACATTTACAAGATCCAAATCAACCCCTCAAAATGGTGGATTCTCAGGGAAAATATCTTGCACCGTAAAGTTTACTCTTCTTGTTTTGAGAAAAATACTGTAACTGAACATGGATTTCTCTCAGAAATTCACAGGTGATAATTGTTTCCTAACTAATGTGTGGGTGTAATGTAATGTTCTCCAACTGATCATGCAATGAACAGAACGTAAACATTCTTCTAGAAAGTGCACTGCATTAACAGCATATTTTGGTCAAGAAAAACACTGGACTTCATAACAGAATAAGATCTTAACCCTTTCCTTTCACCTTAGATTATCCCATGTCATAGTCATTTAATAACAGTCATAATTACCATTATAAAAATATAACTAAGGCTGATCTATAGGGATAAACAGAGTTAATTTTATTATCACTTTAGAAACCACAGGGGAGTGTCAAGGTAAAAAAACACAGGTCAGAAATGTGACATGTATGACACCCAGAATTAAACATTGCCCATTATATTTCAGCATATTGTATTTGTTCACTACATAGTTCAATGGTTAGAAATAAAATCCAGAAAATTTCCCCATTGGCTTGTAAATAGAATTGTAAAGTATAAGTAAGGTGGAGATAAACTATGCCTTATTAATTGTATCCCTACTCAAAAAAATTAGAAAAAGGCATATCCTCCATCATATTTTATACATGATGATGACTCTTCTCATGAAAAATGAAGGTTGAAAGAAATAATCCACTAAGGACAACAATAAAAAATAAAAAATTGTTGATATTTTGACTGTGAGGAGAGAGGTATGGTATCAATATTCAACATGAACTACTAATAAAAACAGCTTGACTAACCAATGTGAAAAACAATCAAAAGTGACTGAGAAATGAACTTTTTACTGTTAAACATTCAAATCATGCCCTGCGAGTCTAATGGGAACCTTATTCTAATGTTTACAGGTATATGTGCAAGTCAATAAAGTGCTGGTCGAACAGTGTAAAACTGTGACCAAACGTCATTTTTCTGTCGGACAAAGTTGAAGTCTTGTGTTTTAACAATCAAACATTTATTGATTTAGTTGTTTTTGTATGTGACAGAGTAAGGTGAAAATAATGAAGAAAAAATACTGACATTGACTCCTGGTCAAACTAATTGTAGTAATAAGAGAGTTGACACTGGTAAAAAAAACTTTCACATGTTAGTGAGGTTTGTAATTTAAATTTGACCAATCCAGTCATACTGACCTTTGTTACACCATATGTCGGGTCATTGTTACATGTTAAAAATAAAGTGTAAACAAACAAAGAAGAAAAAGGATTTAATGATAAAACAATGGAACAATATATATTGGTGAGTACATTTCAGAGACGGCCATCTGCAACTTGCGATAGTTTATCTGTACTCTGTAATGTGGATTTACTTTGGATAAAACTTAGCAAAAACACAATGCTATGATAAACAAAAGATACCTTCTACTTTGCCTTCAAAAATTGGAATTTGTACCAAGAAAATGGTAGATATATGCTTTCTTTGTTCAGTTAAGTAGAAAACAAGAGGTTAAACATAACATCTCAGTCTCCTCTATTACATTCTATTATGTTCTTAAGTACGAAGTGTTGAAATTACAACTGTTATTTTTGGCTTCAGATGTTTTTCTGACAAACCCAAGATATTTGTCTGATTTTCAAGTATAATCAGCACCATAGTTTATGTAAAAGTTCCACAGAAATTTTATTTTCACCTTTGTGTGAATGGACATTTTACATTCATAAGATTCTTGAACAAAACAAGTTTCTCAATATTTGTAAGAGCCAGTTCTTCTACACCCTAATTCTGTAAATGGCAGTGTTGTTGAAGTGGATATAAAATAAAATCAACAAATAGTGAGCAGTATTTACTAGTTAGTATCTGAAGTTGGCTTGAGTTCCTGGTAACTTCATTTTCTACTTTGAAATCAATCTGGTTGTACAGACTATTGTCTTACGTTTTTTTTTTATTTCATGATTACAACAATGTGATTGATTCAGAAGTTAAAAGAAAATGGAGACAGTTGTCTCAAACTTTCAATTGATTTACAGACAAAATATCAGCATCAACTAATTACTTTCTCAGAATTTTACATTTTAACATGAAACTTGTCAAGTTCATCATTAATAGTATTGATACTTAATACTACAGCAGTTTATTTCATTCTTCTCTGAAGTCAAAATACACCTAGACTTTTTCTTTAGTCAATTTCTTTGAAAACTAAAACATTTTGTTGAATTTACCAAAATACAACCCAAAAGGTGCATAATTTGTTAAATAGTTATCAACTGTTCTATCATTGCAGATACTAGTCTAAATTTTTGACTTGAAACCAAGGGAAAGGACTAATTATTAAGTTTGCAAATAAAATAATTTGTCATCAACCTAGTTTTTATGTATAATTCATTTCAATATTTCAACAAAATACTAGTATTGCACAAGTTTAAATATTCAAGAGGACAAAATATGATTACAATTCATTAATATAAAATATAATTCAAGAAAACAAAAACATGTTCCTCTAAATCATGAATTGTTAATATGAAAGAGTGAAGATATTGATGTAAAGACTGGGAACTGGAGAAAATGGAAGCAATATTAAAATATGGTTTTATCAACAAGAAGACACTGAATGACTATATGAATTATTAAAATACATACAAATCAGGGTTGAGGAATGAAATCCCAGGAGATGAAAATAGAACAGAGGTAAAATTTTTAGATTAAAATTCTCTCACTAACAAAAGAGCAATCTGTAAAAAGAGACAAGAGAATTGCAGATCGATTGTTGCTACAGGAATAATTTGTGATGTGTAAGATAGTAAATATGAGGCTAAGAGATAAGACTGATATTTATATTCAATCCATGTTATAGTGGAATTTCAAATATATATTATACAATTTAGAACCAATTCAAATTAACAAAGGGTCTGGGCTTCACATACCCAAATAAATAGTTTTACTATTGAGATTGAATGGTATGGTAAGGTCATGTACTACGTAATTCAGGAACTGCTGATTGACCTTCTGGATTAAGAACTTCTTCAATAGGAGTGGCAGGCATTGTAAAAAAAAGTGTGAATTTCCATGCAACAGTCCAATTTGACCAAAGATATCCACTAAGAATAACATACACAGCTAAAAAGTCATAATGACTTTCTAAGAAAATCAAATTCAAACTATTGGTGATTCACAGTAACTTGTAGAGAAATGATAATGTCAACATATTGGAAATGATGAGAAATTAAATTGTGACAAATTATAAAAGTGAAGTAGACAATGATAGATATAGGATAAGAGATAATCAGAAATTGGTACAGAGAAAACCACAGATTGAATCTCCTTCACTGAAGTCAATCAATATAGAAATATAGACC